CCCTCTGTAGTCGCCGACCCGCGGGCGCCTGCTTGGTGTACACGTCCCACGACTTCGAGGGGTCCTCGGCCGTGTCTGAGCTGGTGCACACGACGCACTTGTCCTTCCGGGGGTGCGGGCGAGTCGGAGCAGAGAAGGAGGACGGCCTCTGTACGGGGCAGTGTCTGCGACGCCCTCGGCACGCATCAACGTTGGTGGCTTGCGAAGGCGCTCGATGTTCAAGAAGACGAGGGGAGGCTGCTGAAGGAGGGAGGCGCTCACCCTCCCAGCCGGGGCGATTCCAAGGTCATAGCAGCAGCCTTCTAAAGACACGCAGGCGTAGCAAATGGCGATGGCTGCGTGGGCTAAAGACCACGGAACGCAAGGTAATAATCGCAGGCTCGCAGACATTGGAGCCCTAATACAAATAGGATCCAGGAACTGCAGCTGCCGATGCACCAGGACGGAATGCAGAACGCGTTTGGGAATCAGTCAGAGAGTTGGTATGCATACCCAAAAATAAACCAGTGGGTCTCCAAGGATGAGAACCTTGAGAACTACCCTTCAGGTGAGAAGGGAAGTCGATCTTTTGGCTGACCTACACATGCCCAACTATTTCTAGAACGGCCTAACAACCAAACGGAACACGTAGCTATCAAACAGTGAATCAAACTTTCTGGAAACCAAAATCACGACCGACCGACCTGTTCCTCAAACAATGCTGTCACTGAAAGGGTCCTCGAGCATATAGACAGACTGAACGAGAAAAACAGGACTGATCTCACTGGGCCACAAGTTTCCTGGGCTCATGATTCCTGGTTCCAATCAAAATTCTGGACCGATTTCGGTGGGCGGCCATTGGCGCAGGTTCCCGGTTCGGGACGTCGCGGCACTAGAGCGCGGAGTTGGGAGCAGAGAGTGCAGATGAGCGAGTAGAGGGACAGAGATGCACAGAGAGAGAGAGAGAGATAGAGAAATAAATAACAAACACCGAGTAGAGAGTAGAGACAGAGAGAGCAGAGCGAGGTGGGGTTCGATCAAGCAAGCAAAGTAGTAACAACCAGAAAAAGGTGTGTGTATATACATATATATATATGTGTAGAACGGCGGAGTAGAAGGAGAGAGAGAGAGAGAGAGACAGAAATAAACAACACTTGAAGCAAAAAGCATGCGACCATGGCCATGCTCAGAGGGTATGTAGCTTAGAACAGAGAGTACATATCAGTATAGAGCAGTGGTGAAGGCAGAGAGAAAGAGAAGGAGGGAGAGAGGGAGAGCGAGAAAGTAGAGCATAGAGAGTAGTGGAGAATAGAGAGGAGTGAAGCAGGCAAGGTGCGCTCGCACAATATCTGACATCCTACCCCTTCCATCCATCCCTGCCCATGGCACTGTCTGTCGGTTCATATCCGCCGACGCATGTCAGAGGGGGTCTGGAACTCCAACACATATCCGTTTCATGATCTGCGCAAGCGGACAAAAGGGAAGCTGCGCACATTGGAGGAGGAGGAGGTGGCGCATTGGCAGGAGGAAGAGGAGGAGGAAGGAGGAGGAAGGAGGGAGGAGGAAAAGGAGGGGGAGGAAGAGGAGAGAGGAGTTGGAGAAGGAGGAGGAAGGAGGAGGAAGGAAGAGGAGGAGGAGGAGGAGGAGGAGGAGGAGGAAGAGGAGGAAGGGAGGAGGACGAGGACGAAAAGCAGCAGCAAAAGCTCAAGAACCTGCAGCGGCAGGAGCGGGAGGCGCACCCAGGGGACTTCGGGGAAGGCGGAGGAGGGGGACTGCAGGGTGGCATGGAGGAGGAAGGACTCGGAGTCCGCGAAGTGGCCGCGGCACTGCGGCGCGAGCGCCGCTCCGAGAGAGGAGAGCCCAGGCCCCGACTCCAGAATGAGGCCCGCGCCGAACGGGGAGCACGACAATTTGGTCCGACTCTGGAAAGGACTCGGATCCAGCGAAGCTGACTGACTGCCTACCAAACAACCCCAACCTGTCCCGAAGACCCGAACTTCGCCCGAAGTTCGGGTGTGGGGGGGGGGCGGGCTTCATGTGTGTTTTTCCCATGCTCCCCGACCACCCCACACTGGAAACGGAGGGCAGATCGGGGCCATCGGGTTGGGTTGGGGTGTTTTTTGGTGGGCGGTGAGAAGTGGCCGTGGCGCCGGGGCGAGAGCGCCGCTCCGAGAGAGGAGAGCCCGGGCCCCGACTCCAGAATGAGGCCCGCGCCGAACGGGGAGCACCACGATTCGGTCGGACTCTGAGCCCAGGCCGTGGCTCCAAAATGAGGCCCGCGCCGAACGGGGAACATCACGATTTGGTCCGACTCTGAGCCGAGCCCCGGCTCCAAAAGAAGGCCCGCGCCGAACGGGGAGCACCAGATTTGGTCCGACCTTAGGCCGAGCCCCGACTCTTGGGGATCCCAAAACCGTGTGGTGACAGCCCGCGCGGTGACCTCGGAACCCCAGAAGACCTCACCGCTCGGTCCGTCACCGCACAGTCTTGGGACCCCCGAAGCCCCATGCCGCCCGAGACATCCTCGGAGGGGGACTCGAGTCCCAAAACCGTGCGGTGACCGCGACTCCCCACCGGCTCGCCACACGCTGTTCGGGAGCGGCCAAGAGGGGGGCGTCCAAGAGGGGGGGGGTGCAAACCATGACCGGCGGCATGTGCGCGGCCCAGCGGGGGGGCCAGGGACGTAACGAAACAAGAAGAGGCGCCACGAAATCTGGGGAAATATCATGGCCCCCGCCATGATATCCCCCCCCCCTAGTCATCACCCCCCTCTTTTGCCGCCCCCGAGCCACACGGTGTGGTCACCACCCCGCTTGGGGGCCCCCGGGACTCCAGAGTGAGGCCCGTGCCGAGCGGGGAGCACCGGCCACCAGCCTGGAACATGTCCCTATCCCTATGCTGGGCACCTCCTCATCACGATGCCAATCTTAGGGATTCCCTTATTTTTTGAGGGCGGATCCCTAAGATTGCCATCGCCTGTTGGCGTGCCAACCTTAGGGATAGGGATACGTTCGAGGCTGGCAAGTTTGGGGGCCCCCGGGACTCCAGAGCGGGGCCCGCGCCGAGCGGGGAGCACCGGAGGCGGGCCGAGGAGGCGCCGTCGGGGGGGGGGGGGAAGCGAGAGCACGCGGGAGAGCCGGCCGCTCGACCGGGTCCCGCGCGGGAGGGGAGGAGAGAGCAGCGCGGAGGGGGGCGCGCCCCGCTCGGCCGCGTCGTCGGGGGAGAGGGGAGTGGAAGACTCACCGCGTGCAGGTGCGAGGGGGAGATGGGGACAACGGAGAGGGGGAGAGCGAGAGAGCGAGAGAGAGAGAGAGAAACAAAAAAAAAAACAAGAGAGGGGGACAACGGAGAGGGGGACCACGGAGAGAGGGGGACAACGGAGAGGGGGAGAGAGAGAGAGAGAGAGAGAAAACAAAAAAAAAGAGGCTGAAGCAAAACGATGCAGGGCAGAGACGTCGCACGGGAGCAGCTTGGGCAGCTTTCACGGCGGGCAGGCTCGGGAGTACCAGCGTCGCCCTCAATCACGAAACCAACGGAATGGGTCCTCGCTGGTGCCATCCGCCCTCTGCTGGGTCGGCAAACTCAAACGCCGAAACTCCCAACCGATCCCACAATGTCAACAAATGCCACCGTGCAGAGGGGAGTGCCAGCAGGTACCGTCAACATTGCCGCGCTGAGTGTTGCCCAATGTGCGCGAAAGATCGCCAGAGCCCAGGGCTCCCAGAAGCCCCCTGTGCTCTCAGGCGCTCTCCTGGGCAGCGCCGTGTGATGCTCCTCCAAGTTGGTCCCCAGCCCCTACCCCAAGAGGGCCCCGAGGCGGCCAGCAGGCCCCCGAGTTCCACGTTCGGAGTCGCCGAAAGATCACCCCTAAGACGCGCAAGATGGCCTCCAGATGGCCCTGGAGGTATCCAAAACGCCCCAAGAGAGCCCCAAGGGGCCTCCCAAAAAAGCCCCGAGAAGCCACACGCGCCTATTGCAGATGGGCGTTTCAAGGATGTTGGTCTTCTCGCCTTTCGACTCCCCGACACTCCAAGACGGCTCAAGAGGCTCCCAAGACCGTTCCAAGACAACTCAAGAGGCCCCCAAGAGGGTCTCAGGACTGTCCCAGAGGGCCCCAAGACGGCCCAAGAGGCGCCCCAGACTGGATCGGCGACAATATGGGTTATCCGCGGGGGGGGAAGGGGCCAGCCGATAACCCAACCTGCGCGCTGTGGGCAGCCCCGCATATGCCCGCGCGCACCAATTTTAGGACCCCATACAGCTGCTAAAAATGCTGCGGCGATGTTACCAATCGTACTGCGACGATGCGGGCGCCGTCCGGGAATGTCTACTGATATGTCTGGACAGCTCAACGGACAAGGTGGGGTTATCCCGGGGCGGGGGGGAGGCGAGCCCGATCACCGGGCGAGGCCCCCGAGAGGCCCAAAAGAGGCTTCTAGATGCTTCAAAACAGATCTCAAGAGGCCTCAAAAGTGCTGAGCGGCGATCCGCCAACCGCCCCCGACGAAATCCCAAGAAGCTGAAACCCCAAGATTCCCCAGAAGTCGTTCCGCTAACTCCGTGTTTCACTTTTACTGCCGCCCCAGGGGGTCGGCGGTGCTGCGTCAGCCAATGAATCTTAAGGGACCAGGTTCCCGGCTCCTTGGGCTCTCGGGCGGGGCCGTGAATTTCCAGGACCTCCTTGGGTGTGTCGCGTGCGTCATCTGGAAGCCAGGAGGGTCCGAAAACCGGCCCGGAGGGACCGAGGCGGCCGCGAAAACGGCTGCAAGAGAGCCTCGAGTCGCCTCAAGATCGCCTCTCAAGATGGTTTGAAGACGGCCAAAGAGGCCCCAAAGAAGGTCGAATGGGGGCCCGAGAGGAGAGCAGCCCCAAGAGGGCCCTAAGAGGCCCAAATCCATGATTTCTCAATGTTGTTAAAAGACGTTCGCCTTCGCGCCTTGTTCAGCTTTTAACGCTCCAAGACGGCCCGAGAAGATCCCAGTAGCGCCCCAGGACTGCCCAAGAGGCCCACAGGAGGGCCCCAAGACGCCACAAGGGGGCCCCAAGACGGCCCAAGAGGCCCCCAAGGAGGTCCAAGATGCACCCACAAGGGCCCAAGAGGGGCCCGAGAGGGGGAACAGGAACAGACATCGGGAGCCTTCCGCCCCAAGTTGGCCCCAACAAGAGCCCCCCAGAGGCAGGCTCCCGAGACCCCCCAGAGACGCCCCAACCGGCCCCCAAGAGGCACCCTGGACGCCCCAAGAGGCCCCCAACAGGTACCACAGAAGCCCCCAAGACTCTTCCAAGAGTCCCAAGAGACCCTCAGATGCATCCAAGAGACCTCTGAACCACACAGCCCAGACACGGTGGCGGGATGGGCCAAAGGCCATTCGACCTGCTTGGCACGGGGACGGAAAGCGCGTGTATTTTGTGAGGGCGCGCGGACGCTGGCTTAGTGTCTTGGAGCCCTGCTGGTGTTATGGCTTTGGTGCGACATACTAATATCTAGTAAAAAACCTTCTGCGAAAACAAATGAATATTGTATTTCTGGGCCTTCCTAGGGGTCCTCTGGGGGCTCTTTTGGGCAGTCTTGGAGCCCTCTTGGGCCGTCCTGGGGCCCTCTTGGACCGCCTTGAGGAGCTTGGGCCGTCTTGAGGCCCTCTCGGGGCTCTCCAGGACCCTCTTGGGGACCGTCTGCGGCCCTCTTGGGGCTCTCCTGGGAACCTTTTGGGACCCTCAGGGGCCTCTCTTGGGCCGTCGTGGGGCTCTCCTGGGCCGTCCTGGAACCCACTTGGGCTGCCTTGGGGCCCTCTTGTTGGCCTCTTGGGCCGTCTTGGGGCGGTTCTCGGGGCATCGCGGGCCGTCTTGGACGCTGAAAGGACCGAAGAAACGAATATGCTAAAAATGTACACGCTCCTATAAAGGTATGGGACCATTTTTGCCTTTTGGACGGGCCTCTTGGAGCGTCTTGAGGACCTCTCTGGCCGTCCTGAGACTATCTTGAGCCCTCTCGGAGCAGCCTCGGGCCGTCTTCGAGCCCTCGTGGGACTCCCAGAGGCCGTCATGGAGGTATCCGAGTATGCGAGGTCGTCTAGGGAGCGTCTTGGGCCGTCTTGGGGGTTTCTTGGGCGCCCCTGGGGCTGAGTTGGGCTGTCTTGGACCGACGATGGCTAAAAATTGAAGCTGTAGATCTGAGTCTAGTCCTACCTGCCCCCGCACCCCCCTGTTTTTTTCTCCCGACTAACGGATCGCGACACTACGCGAGCTTCCAGTCATCCGCCACCCCCTGTTGGCTTGCCACAAAGGTGCCCGGCGTGCTAGATGTCCTGAGGGGTTGGTTCTGCTTCCTTTCCAAAATAACTCCCCCTGAAGCTTCGGCGCATGCCGCTGGCCACCCGAAGACCGCACAATCCGCCAAACAAATCGGATTTCAAATCGCCTAGTCGCCTCCAAGACAGCCAAGAAGGCCCAAAGATGGCCTCCAATTGCGCCCAAGATGGTCCAAGATGGCCACCAAGATGGCCCAAGAGGGTCCAAGATGCCTCCAAGTCTGCCCAAGAAGCCGCCAGGACGGTCCAAGCTGGCCTCACGATGGCCCAAGACGCCCCCTCCAAGACGGCCCGAGAGGCCTCCAAGAGCTCGTCCAGGCGGGCCCGAAGGAGGAGGGGGGAGACGAGGAGGAAAACGAGGAGAAGGAGGAGGAGGAGGAGAAGGAGAAGGAGGAGGAGGAGAAGTAGGAGGAGGGGGACGGGGAGAAGGAGGACGAGGAGGAGGAGGAGGAGGAGGAGTACGAGGAGGAGGAGGAGGAGGAGGAGGAAGAGGAGCAAAAGGCCAAAATCAATGATCTTGCCCAGGTTTTTGAAGGATTTGAGCACTTGCTTCTCTTCGGCCGTCCGACGGCACGAGACGGCCCAGGCCGTCAAAGATTGCCCCCAGAGCGCCCCGGAGGCCTCCAGGATGGCCCCGGAACGGCCCAAGTGCCCCCCATGACGGCTCGAAGAGGGCCCCAAGGCAGACCACGAGGCCTCCAAGACGCCCAATATGGCCTCCAAGACGGCCTTGCAGCACCCCAAGATGACCCTAAGTCGGTTCAGAAAGGCCCCAAAGGCGGCTTCCGACGGCGTCAGACAGGCCAGGAACGCCCGAAGACGGCCAAAGAGGCTCCAAGAAGCTCCAAGAGGCCCCCAAGAGGCCCAAGGAGGCCTCCAAGATGCCTCCGAGAGGGTCCCAGGAAGCTCCCAGGAGACCCCAAGAGTGCCCCAAAGGGCTCTCAAGAGGCCCCCTACTCCTGTTTCCCTCCTGTCCTTCTCTTCTTCTTTCTCCGCCACATGTTCCCCGAAGGGTTTCCCATCGGCTGGGGGAACACGTAGTCCGATAGCTTGGCCGAGCTCTGGCCACAACGTTCGGCCGCATGGGCGATTCCAAAGCAGGGGACGGCGGTGACTCGCCATAGGCGTCTTCGATAAATGTGCATACACACATGTGTATCAAATATACTACATACACACGTATCTGCAACGGTGCCTGGAAGCACGAGTTGAAGTGCCTTCGATTCCAGTGAGCAATATGTCCTGACGAAGGATTGCGTCTATATAACGAAAACGACACGAAATTCATAGGAGGTCAAAGGGGTCCCACGTGTTCTCGCAACTTCTCTTGAAGCAAAAGGGCTACAAAACAGGCCAAGAGGGCTCCAAGACGCCACCGAGATGGTCCAATGATCCAAGACGGCCGACGAGGCTGCCAAAATCACCAAGACGGCCTAAGAGGGCCCCGAGACGGCCCGACAGTCCACCAAGACTGCCCCAAAGAAGACACCTCATGACGACGCAATTCGGCGACCCTACCGGGAAATTGCATGATGCTGATTTACAGCTTACGCGGTCAGCTATTGCATGGCCTCAAAGGTCGTAAACGCAGCTTGCCGCGATCTCCCGAGGCTCTCCAGCCCTTCCCTTACAGTCAAGTCGCACAATTACAACCCACTGTACTAAAAAGTGGAGACCGTAGGGATCGAGGAAGACACGGTTGGCCTCCCGCTGGATTAAAAAATGGAGACCGTGGGGATCGAGGAAGACACGGTTGGCCTCCCGTTAGGCCACGGGGCCCCGGGACAATGCTGGACTCTGGGCCGAATCGGGAATTTCAGATGCATCTCTCACCCCTTTTAATATTATAATGGCCAAATGAGGTCAGCATCTGAAGATGTGAGTCCGCCTGAGACGTCCGCCAAAAAAAAAATCAGATCGCCTTCAAGGGCGATCTGACAATTTGCCGCGGCATCTGAAGGTGGCGATTTTGCGCGGGACTTCCGCTAAACAAAAATAAGATACATCTTCAGACCGCTTGTGAGCGGCGATATCGTCTGAGAATTCCTCGCAGGGTATTATCCGACCGCTTTTCACACCGCCAAAGAAAGGCGATTTCATTTGGGCTGTCCTAACAACCGCGCGTCTCGTCCACCCCTGCGTCGCCGTTCCTCCGTTCGGGTCACGACTCTGTCTGGGAGTTATTTGGCATCGATAGAAGGTCAAAGCTTGAGTTTTTTTGTTCGATTAGCGAAGACCCGGGGGTTGTTCCCTGCCATAGTGCCGATTACCACTTTTTAATCCAGGGGGTGGTAGGATGCGCGGTAAGGATGCAAAGGGCTTGGAGGGCCAGGTTGGCATTTTCGAACGGGGCTAGCCAGCGAAAATCACCAAGGATGGGCCGACGGGGCACGGATGCAAGGGGGGTTAGCCTTGGAAAGTTGCGCCTCCATACTATGCGACTTGTCTGCACACAAATGCCCAGCAGCAGCGAAGGAGAAGAGGCTTGCAGGCCGCACTCCTGATCATCGCCCTTCCGCGCGTAGGCGACCGCACTGCAGTTGGGCGATGCAAGACACATTGCCTCGTGGCGCGGACCGTGCAGAACACCAGCCCACTTGGGGAGTATGCAGAGGATAACGTGGCGCGTGAAAGAGAACACTTGGGAGTACGCGAGGCAGGTGAAAGCGGACGTGACGTGATGAACGAAGCTCGCCCCAGGTGGTGGCCCCGGCCACACCGCTCGGCCCACCACAGCCACACCCCAAGCCAAGTCCCCGCCCGACGCTCCCTGTTACGACCACGGAGCGGCAGTCTCCTCTCCTCGGGAGCGCGGCAGGGCGGCAACGCACATCCGACGCCGCGCGAAGGCGAGGGTGGGGCAGCGACTGCCCTCCGACGGCGACGGCCTCGGACATCGCGGGGGACCGCCTCGGGGAGAACGCCCGGAGCCTAGAACCCACGACAGAGTCAATGCGCTCAAGCACTCCGACTGGCGTGCTGTCTTGGCAGCGGCACGTCGCCCCGAACCTTCAAAGCTGAGCGAGAGCTGAACCTGACGGAGTGGCCTTCGAAGCGAGATGCCCCCAGGATCTGGAGCCCCCGTGGGGAGAGGAAGGACGAGCCAATCCACCATGACCGCCAGCTCCTCCGCCAGCGCCTTCCCCTCCTCCTCCCCCTCCTCCCCCTGCTCCCCCTCCTCCTCCTCCTCCTCCTCCTCCCGCCACTCTGGAGAAAGCAAGAAGAGGAGGAGGAGGAGGATAGGGAGGAGGAGGACCGATCTCTACGGATTCGCCCGAAGCCGACGGTCCTTGATCCAGCATGTTGCTTCCTCCTGGCTCCAACTCGTTTCTTGCTGCTCTCGTTTCCTCCTGCGCCTACCCCACATCCTCCTCCCAAGCCCGCCCTTTTCAGTTCCTACGTAGTGATCGTCATCCTCCAAATTCCCCATCCGCCCTGACCCGATTCAACAAGACCTCAACTATACACCTACACCGGTCCGTGCTGGCCCAATCCTGAGCCTGGGATGCCAAGCGTGGCGAACAAATCGCATGCACACCTACCCTGGCCCCACGGTCAGCCTGGCCAGGATCGGTGTACATGTATGTTGGGGGCCCTCCGACTCAATCACCGTCGTCCTTCGCTCAACATTGTCGCCCCCACCCCTTCCTCCCACGTGCACTGCTTGGGCGGGGCGCCGCCTTGCACGCGGTCGCATTGGACTCGCTGCTCGCCTGTAAGCTCAGGTGGCAGACCAGGGAGGGCGAGAGGAATTTCCGAGCAGAAAAATGGACGATCGGATAGAAAACATAAATAACAAGCGAAACGGGCGGAAGGGCGGGGGGGCAGCACATAAAGGAGAGGGAAAGAAGAGGGCGTAAGGTAGGACGGGGGAGGAGAGAGAAAGAGGCAGACAGGTATGAACGGGGGGAGGAAAAGAGGAGGGGAGGAAGGAAATGACGCGCATGCGGGAAAACTCGGGCGCGGTGATGCCGAGAGGTGCCAGGTGAAAAAGCATGGCGGGGGCCACTGTGGCCCTTGATGTAACACATATCTGCCCTCGGAGAAAAAAAAGCATCCACTTAACATTTTGACCTAGCAGCGAAGACTGATAAGTTTCTAATGGTTTCAAAAGAAAGCATCTTGACTCCTCAGGGGGGTCTGGGCAGATGCCAGACGGGTGCCGGGGAGAATCCGCGGAAGTCGTTTTAAGCAAACAGTTACACACTTCGTGGTCTTCGAGGTCCCAGAACTCCATTTCCGGGCCACATTTTGAATGCCCGGAGCCAACTGTAGGCCACTTCGTGCTCTTCGAAATCCCAGAACTCCATTCCCGGGCCACATTTTGAATGCCCGGAGCCAACTGTAGGCCACTTCGTGGTCTTCGAGTTCCCAGAACTCCATTCCTGGGCACATTTTGAATGCCCGGAGCCAATTGTAGGCCACTTCGTGGTCTTCGAGTTCCCAGAACTCCATTCCTGGGCATGATTTTGAATGCCCGACCCAACTGTAGGCCACTTCGTGTTCTTCGAGTTCCCAGAACTCCATTCCCGGGCCACATTTTGAATGCTGAGGCAGGCTGATGCTGAGGCTGAGGCAGGCTGAGGCTGAGGCAGGCTGAGGCTGAGGCCGAGGCTGAAGGCAGACTGAGGCTGAGGCTGAGGCTGAGGCTGAGGCTGAGGCTGAGGCAGGCTGAGGCTGAGGCTGAGGCTGATGCAGGCTGAGGCTGAGGCAGGCTGAGGCTGAGGCCGAGGCTGAAGGCAGACTGAGGCTGAGGCTGAAGCAGGCTGAGGCTGAGGCTGAGGCAGGCTGAGGCTGAGGCTGAGGCAGGCTGATGCTGAGGCAGGCTGAGGCTGAGGCTGAGGCTGATGCAGGCTGAGGCTGAGGCAGGCTGAGGCTGAGGCCGAGGCTGAAGGCAGACTGAGGCTGAGGCTGAAGCAGGCTGAGGCTGAGGCTGAGGCAGGCTGAGGCTGAGGCTGAGGCAGGCTGATGCTGAGGCAGGCTGAGGCTGAGGCTGAGGCTGATGCAGGCTGAGGCTGAGGCAGGCTGAGGCTGAGGCCGAGGCTGAGGCAGATTGAGGCTGAGGCTGAAGCAGGCTGAGGCAGGCTGAGGCTGAGGCTGAGGCAGGCTGAGGCTGAGGCAGGCTGAGGCTGAGGCTGAGGCTGATGCAGGCTGAGGCTGAGGCAGGCTGAGGCTGAGGCCGAGGCTGAAGGCAGACTGAGGCTGAGGCTGAAGCAGGCTGAGGCTGAGGCTGAGGCAGGCTGAGGCTGAGGCTGAGGCTGAGGCTGAGGCTGAGGCAGGCTGAAGGCAGACTGAGGCTGAGGCTGAAGCAGGCTGAGGCCGAGGCTGAGGCAGGCTGAGGCTGAAGGCTGAGGCTGATGCAGGCTGAGGCTGCGGCAGGCTGAGGCCGAGGCCGAGGCTGAAGGCAGGCTGAGGCTGAGGCTGAAGCAGGCTGAGGCTGAGGCTGAGGCTGAGGCAGGCTGAGGCTGAGGCTGAGGCAGGCTGATGCTGAGGCAGGCTGAGGCTGAGGCTGAGGCTGAGGCTGAGGCTGAGCTGATGCAGGCTGAGGCGGAGGCAGGCTGAGGCTGAGGCCGAGGCTGAGGCAGACTGAGGCTGAGGCTGAAGCAGGCTGAGGCTGAGGCTGAGGCAGGCTGAGGCTGAGGCTGAGGCAGGCTGATGGTGAGGCAGGCTGAGGCTGAGGCTGAGGCTGATTCAAGCTGAGGCTGAGGCAGGCTGAGGCTGAGGCCGAGGCTGAAGGCAGACTGAGGCTGAGGCTGAGGCAAGCTGATGCAGAGACAGGCTGAGGCTGAGGCTGAAGCAGGTTGATGCTGAGGCAAGCTGAGGCTGAGGCTGAGGCAGGGTGAGGCTGAGGCAGGCTGAGGCTGAGGCCGAGGCTGAAGGCAGACTGATGCTGAGGCTGAAGCAGGCTGAGGCCGAGGCTGAGGCAGGCTGAGGCTGAGGCAGGCTGGAGCTGAGGCTGAGGCAGGCTGAGGCTGAGGCTGTGATTGCGACTGCCGTTGCCACTGCGACTGCCACCGCGAATGCGACTACGATTGTGAGAACAGCAGAATTCTATAACTGGATTATCATCTGAATCTTAAGGGGAATGCTTCCAGATATGCTCCTACACATCGATGTTAGGCTTCTTTGCCGGGATACTTGGTCGAGGGTGGGTACATTCACCGAAAACCCGTGTCACACCCCCACACACAAACAATCGCGCACCATCATATACCTGAGTTCAACGGCCGCAAGTTGCCAACCATCAGGTACATCAGCAATCAGCATAGACCACGGCGTGGAAAGGGTAAATGGACCCACTCCTACGGATGTACCACTCATACGGTCCTTAACAATGGAATTCCGCAGGCGGCATTGCTTAAGCCAGCGCTCGATGACTAAAGCCCCAGTTCGATTGCAAAGTTGCCCCCCGCGAGCACTGCGTTGCCATCGGCTCTGAAACTTTACAAGGGCGCGGGGCAAGTGGAAACCGCGAAGTTCACGTCACTCTTCGCTGTCATTTATGCGGCGCGGGAAACGCCCCGCGCAGAGATCTGACTCGAAGGATCTCTCCCGCAGGCCTCCATAGTCGCACGAGCCAAGCGCCTCCACGCCGTCGCCGCTGTAGCCCGCGCCCGCTCGTGAGAGGGATGAACAGACCAGACGGCCAGCCAACGCATGCCCACCCCTTGCGGAATGGCGCCTGCGCAAGGCAATCGGCCGCGCGACACTCCGCAGAGACGCGCGCGCCTCGAGTGTCACGCGCAGAGAGATGAAACAAAAGGACAACTGCGGGCGCCCCCGCCGGCCTGGCCTGAGACAGCTCCAACGCACCCCCGCGCGACGCGAGGGTGGCGGAAGCGAACAGAAGATGCGAAAGGCCTGGTCAACAGGCCTCGCAGCGATAGCATCCCAAGAGAGGCGGTGGTAGACAAACGTCCGGATGTGCACATGTGGGGAAGCAGATTGAAAGGAATGGCATGTGTACACGACGCCCAAATATCATGGATGTGGGTTGGATTGCCCACTGCGCAGCACGCTGCAGTGCAACGTGCGCACCTGGCGGGAGCAACCGAGAATGAAAGCAGGGTTGTGAGAGCGCGCAAGGGCTTGAGCACGTCGACGCGCGTCTCGCAGCCGCGGGGGGGCAGGACAAACGCTGCGAGCACAACCACTGGATTGCTCGAGGCCTCGAGGCTCACGGCCCTGGGGGGCGGGGGCACCGCGCGAGCTCAACCACTGGATTCCTCGAGGCCCAACTGCCCCGAGGAGCGAGGGCACGGACGGCGCCGCCGGCCGCCCCCCCGACGCGAGACCACGCGAGAGAGGGAAACAAGAGGAAGGAAGGCGATAAGGGAACGCATTGCCCCGCCCAAAACGGGCTGCTTTTAGCGATTCGGGGCGAGGCGGCCCCAGCCAAAATGGGCTGCTCTTCGCGGCCGGGGCCGGACTCTGGCCACCTCGAGCATGCGTGCGAATGCTCTGCGGTGAGAGGTGCCAGTTTGCAGGGCAGCGGCCCCCCGCAGAGGTCCCTTATTTGCGACAAGAAGAAAGGGAAAGAGTGAAAGGAACGGGCCCGACTCCAGGGAGACGCGGCAAGGTGAATTCCCACGACCTCCAGAGGCTGCGGGACCGAAAAAGCGGAGGAGGAAGGGAGACACGGGGAAAGACCCCCCCCCAAGAAGGACATCCGCGCCCATACGTTGCAAGAGAAGAGAATAAAGATCTGCGCGGAGCTGCAGCGGGGTCCACCGCGAGGACTCAACCTGCAGTTGTGGACGCTGCGAGCTCTGCGAGGAAGAGCAACCTGAATGCGACCGTGGAAACCATCAACCACATAACCAATCAGAAAGTCATGCGTCAGCTACGGGTGCCTATGGGCACCCGCCATCGACGTCTCGGAATCGTCTGCGCGCGCAGAGTAAACTCGGCCCCTGCTTGCCCGGCGCGATGTCCACCGCGCGACTTGCACGCAGTCCAAGCGGGCAAAGGAGTCCGCGGCCCGTGCCTTCAGCATTTCTGATTCACGAATCTATTTTCAAACCTGGGGGAAGTGACATGTAGCGAATGCCTGGGCACCGGGCGCCCTCGCCAGCTCGGGGCTACTCTTCTCGACTGGGGGAACGAAATGCCAGTCCTGCACGAGGCACGCCGCCGCCCATGCCTCGGCCAATCGGGCTTCGAGGGAGGCGAAATCGCAAGCCGACGTCGGGATCGCCAGCCTGCAGGTCTGGGCCCGCGCATCATGCAACTCTGCCAGGGCGTTGGTGCTCCGCAAACGATCGCGGAGATTCGTTCCGCAAGCACTACACGCGCGCTCAGATGCATCAAAAGGTTAAGCGAAGACCGTTCGGTATGAGACAGCTTCCAGCAATCGCCCCAACAATAAATGTGCGCATGGTGACAACATGCACAGATATAAGCGCGAGGAGAAAGAAGACAGGACACATGCATGGCGGGAGAGGAGCAATGGATGGATGGAGATAGCAAAGGGCAACGGAAAGCGATATGAGGAGGGCGTCGACGTGCACCTGCGGGAAGGCGGAAAGCGAAACCTCCGCCCCGACGAAAGACGGCGTGGGAGAAATAGAAATGACCTCGAGAATGGGGGGCACATTTGAAATAAAATTGGGACCCGGATTACAATGACATCAAGACCGAAGTTGTGATGACACTTGATCAGCTAGAACGTATAACGTGAGCCACTCCAGGCCTCAAACATGATAGATGATCA